AAAAATGAAAACTTTACAATCTTTTGTCCTCCTATTCTTCTTCACTATCTGTCATAATGTCGCAACTGGAGTCTACAGCCAGTGTCTCAAAGACCAGCAACTGTCATTGCTCCATTTGAAGAAAAACCTCACGTTTCATGATGATGGTTCTCCGGTTTCTTCCAAGTTTGTATCGTGGGATTCAAGTACAGACTGTTGTTCTTGGGTCGGTGTTACTTGCAGTAGCAACGGGCGTGTTGTTGGTCTGGACATTAGCTGCCAGCACATCTCGGGTGGCATTGACAGCTCAAGCAGTCTCTTCGATCTTCAGCATCTTCAAAGCCTCAACTTGGCCGATAACACTTTTGTCGAAGGCTTTTGCATTCCATCTGCAATTGGAAAGCTGACAAACTTGAGGTATCTAAATTTATCAAATGATTGTGTCCGGAAAATTCCCGTTGAGATTTCACACTTGACAAGGTTGGAGGTCCTTGATATTTCTCAAAGTTACTATAACTGGGCCAGCAAGCCACTTGAAAGCCCGAAGTTCAGCATGCTCTTTCAGAACCTCACAGAGCTTACAGAGCTTCATCTTGACGGTGCAGACCTATCAGCAGAGGGGAGTCATTGGTGCCAAGCGATATCATCTTCGCTGCCAAACCTAAGGGTGTTGAGCTTGTCGCAAACTACTATTTCAGGTCCTATCGATCAATCCCTCACTAAGCTTCAGTCTCTATCCGTGATTCAATTGGGTGGTTTTCGCAACAATATCTCCGGTCCGATTCCAGGATTCTTTGCCAAGTTTTCAAACCTGACAGTGTTGAACTTGGACGAAAACAATATCTCTGCTCCGGTTCCAGGATTCTTTGCCAATTTTTCAAAGTTGACTACCTTGAGTCTACGTGACTGTGGGTTACGTGGAACATTTCCGAAGCAGATCTTTCAGGTACCTACTCTACAAACTCTTGACCTTTCCTCTAATACGGAACTTCATGGTTCCTTGCCAGAATTTCCCAAGAATGGATCTCTTCGATCCTTGATTTTAAGCGGGACAAGCTTTTCAGGGTTATTGCACGACTCTATTGGCAACCTCAACATGTTGTCAACACTAGACCTTTCCGGATGCAATTTCACTGGATCAATCCCAAAGTCAATCGGAAACCTAACGAAATTGGTTAATTTACTCCTGTCATCAAACATGTTTAATGGTCCAATTAGTTCTATTCACTGGGAAAACCTTATTAATCTGGTAAATCTCTGTTTGTACGACAATCAACTGGTGGGGAGCATTCCGTCGTCTCTGTTTTCTCTTCCCTTGTTGCCGTACTTAGTACTTTCCAATAATAATTTCTCCGGGCAACTCCTTGAAATTTTTAACGTCTCTTCCAGTTTAGTTGCTTTAATTGATTTGAGTTTCAATAATTTGGAAGGACCAGTACCCGTGTCTATCTTTAATTTTCGAGGGCTTGAAACCCTCACTCTTTCTTCAAACAATTTCAGTGCCTTTCCTTTTAATGGTCCTCATCAGCTGCCAAATCTGGCGGAGATTGATCTTTCGCACAATAGCTTGCTGGTTTTATACAATGGCAGCAATTCCTCATACTCTTCATTTCCTCAAATTGTTTATTTCAATTTAGTTTCTAACAAGTTGAGAACATTCCCAGTTTTCTTGAGAAATCAAACCTATTTAACAGAGTTGGACCTTTCGAACAACCAAATTCAAGGCCAGCTACCCAATTGGATATGGAAGCTCGATTCTCTTGATTACCTAAATGTTTCTAATAATGCCTTGGAAAGTCTCGAAGGTCCTTTCATCAACTCCACATCTCATGTGTCTGAGCTTGACCTTCATTCAAACCAGCTTAAGGGGCCAATTTCAATTGTCCCACCACATGCCGAATATCTGGGTTACTCAAACAATCATTTCAGTTCTAGTATTCCAGTATCAATATGCAACGCAAGTGGTCTTCGCACTCTTGATTTGTCCAGTAATTCTCTGAGTGGTGAGATTCCCCAGTGCTTGGCTGCAATGAGCACACTCATGATACTTAATGTCAGGAAAAACAACATTACTGGAATGATTTCTAATCTTGAATTTCCTGAGTCATTAGAAGCTCTAGACCTCAGCCAAAATCAGATTGAAGGTCAATTTCCAAAGTCTCTAGCCAGGTGCACAAGTTTAATATTTTTAAACCTTGCAGAGAATCATATAACAGACACCTTCCCATGCTTGTTGAAGAATATCTCCACCTTGATGGTTCTTGCTTTGAGGTCCAACAATTTCTATGGAGGCATTGGATGTCCAGTAGTGAAGACCCATGCCGCTTGGCCGGTTCTTCAAATCGTAGACTTAGCTTACAATAATTTCAATGGTGAAGTACCAGGATTCTCTCTGACAACATGGCAAGCAATGAAGGATAACACAGATATTGGTTTCCCGTCGACAGTCAATGTTTCTAGAAACCCTTATAAAAGAAGGGAATATTCTTATGGGTTTGTTACATCCCCTTTTAACAAAGCGGTTGTAGTAATTTCTTATCAGCCTACTATTTCTTATGAGCCTGCTATGACGATTACAAGCAAAGGTTAAAGTGTGATCTGGCAAAGATTCTTACCATCTTGACTTTGATTGACTTCTCATGCAACAATTTCAGTGGGCCAATACCCAAGGAAATGGGAGATTTGAAATCTTTATATTTTCTCAACTTGTCAAGTAACGCTTTCACAGGTGAAATCCCATCGTCATTTGGTAACATGCGACAACTCGAGTCCTTGGACCTGTCACAGAACAAGCTGAGCGGGCAAATCCCAGAACAACTGGCAAAGCTTAATTTCCTTGCAGTTCTGAATCTCTCGAATAATCAACTTGTCGGCAAGATCCCAGCTGGTACTCAAATTTCAACATTTCCAAGAGACTCATTTACAGGGAACAAAGGATTATGGGGGCCTCCGCTGACGATGGATAATAAAGCAGGACTGTCACCACCACAAACATCAAATGGAAGCCATCCATATTCTACAGATGAGATTGATTGGGATCTTATTAGTGTCGAAATTGGATTTGTATTTGGCTTTGCAGTTGCCGTTGGGTCACTTGTGTTCTTCAAGAGATGGAGTAAATGGTATTATAGGTCTATGTATAAAATCCTTGTGAGGATATTCCCTCAGCTTGAAGAAAGAATTGGTCCTCATCGAAGACATATTCACATAAATAAGAGGTGGAGACGTTGAAATGTTTATGAGGAGCAAGTAGCTGGACTCCATGTTGTGCCTAGGGTAAGATGCAACAAATAAAATATGGTTTCGCATTTTGATTTATAGCTTGTGTTGTAATTAGGTTTGGAAGTTATTTTGTATCTTTCTGCATTATGGTTAATAAATTTTCCTTGTACTGTCGAGGTTTCTTAAAAAACGAAAAGAACAAGCCTACTAACCAATGCCTTATGCACGCATTTTGAATTCCATTTTAACACCTTTCTAGGATGGACACTCAAAACACATGAGCAAGGAAAAGGGGTTATGTTGTTTGAATTTGTGATGCATTATATCTTATATCCTAGAATCGACCGTAATGACGTTCTAGGATTCATATAGCCGACCCTATTTAGTAGGAAAATGCTTTGTTATTGTTGTATGCTTCTTTTGTTTGTTCTCCCTTGTTTTGGCTTTTGTTTGTGAGAAAATTATCTCTTTTCTTTTGTGTGTTTGTACAGTCTTTGATTTTAAATGTTTGCTCTGTTTTTCGTGCACTGGTCAAGTTCTGTTTATCGCTCAATTTGCTTTGATTGAGAAAGATATGAAAAGACAGCTCCTCCACAGTTTCTTTCAGCTTCTGTAAAAACTAAAAATTTATGCCAAATGATGACTGTTAAATTAGTACACCTTTTTCTTTGTTTTTCCCTGCATGGAATGGTCTGATTACTTGAAACTATGAGTATGATATTATTGGCACAATACGACCTGCAAATGAATGTTTCTTTTATTGGTTCTTGGGTACTGTACCGTAAATTTTGTTACTCTTATGTAGAAACTATTCATTCCTGTTCCAACTAATATATTCAATCCCCGCAGCGAAGCGCGGGCACATTTTCTAGTATGACCTAACCCAAAACTACATTGAATTCTTTACACCTGCTGTCGACGAATGCGTTGTAGTGGCAACGCTATTTCAACTTCAACTTCAGAAACTTTGGGTGACCCAATATTATCAAGGGAACTTTACCGAAAAGCTCCCGATATTGTTCACTTTAACGAAAAACCACATTTTTACACTAAAAAGTCAATCCTGGTACTATTCACTTTACCCTTTATTTTGTCCTTATCATTAAAACTCAAAGTTTTCAAGTCATTTTCATAAGTTTTCCTTATTATCAATGATTGAAACGATCGTAGTAGGTATCATATGGAAATCCCTCGTTCCTACAATTTTGATATAATCTTCTTTCTATCTCTCTCGCCATGTAAACTGTTTGTAAGATAGAATCTCTCTCCTACTGTAGTCCTGCCAAACCGTAGAAGCAACTTACCTACCTAACACTGTATTCCCCGGCCCTACACCTATCTCAGTTCACACCTACTCCATCGGAAAGATGGGGGAAAGACTTCAAAGGAAGCAAGTCAAGCCAACAAAAATTATCCCGTGGAAGATTTATCCACGATATTAAAGGCACATCATTGTCTAATTCATCTCTGCAATGTTTTAATATTACTGGTTACAGTTAAAAGAAAAAGAAAAAGACCAAGTGTGGAAATTTTCAGGTCGACGGGCCGAGGGTCCACTCTAACAACACCGATACTGTTCCCATTTAACCACCTGCACAATCCTCAGGTAAAAGGCTTCGATGTTAGTTATATTTAAAGCACTCTTCTCTTCTCCCTCTGTCCGATGTGGGACTGGGGGTTCCAACACTCCCCCGCACGTGAGACCCCACTTATGGGTCACACGTGAATTTCCACACATCGGCAACCACGTGAAGCCATGTCGGGACTCACCCAATCACGCTGTTCCCATTTAACCACCTGCACAATCCTCAGGTAAAAGGCTTCGATGTTAGTTATATTTAAAGCACTCTTCTCTTCTCCCTCTGTCCGATGTGGGACTGGGGGTTCCAACACTCCCCCGCACGTGAGACCCCACTTATGGGTCACACGTGAATTTCCACACATCGGCAACCACGTGGAGCCATGTCGGGACTCACCCAATCACGCGGGGCCAATGGGGACCCACCCAAACACGTGGCATCTTTGGCCTACGTGGACAATCGCGCGGGGCCAAAGGGGACCCACCCAATCACGTGGCAGTACGGGCCCGCCTCCTGGCTCTGATACCATGTGGAAATTTTCAGGTCGACGGGCCGAGGGCCCACTCTAACAACACCGATACTGTCCCCACTTAACCACCTGCACAATCCTCAGGTGTGGGGTTTTCTCACAAAAGACATCGATGTTAGTTAGAGAGGGGTATTTCTATTTAAAGCACTCTTCTCTTCTCCCTCTGTCCGATGTGGGACTGAGGGTTCCAACACCAAGACTTCAAAATCTGCAAGTCAAAAAAGAAGAAATAGATAAAGGGATAAAAAGTGTGTGCAGTCGCATTCACTAATCACAGTATAAAGAAGAAATAGACCAAGACCAAGGCTTCAACGGGATAAAAAGTTTGTGCAGTCGCATTCGCTAATCACAGTATAAAGAAGAAATAGACCAAGACCAAGGCTTCAACGGGATAAAAAGTGGGATTAAAGTAAAAAGAAGAAATAGACCAAGACTTGAAGCCAAATCTGCAGCGACGAAAAATAATTTAAAGCCACCACACCAATCCCTCAGTTGTTCATCATACGCTTTCCTTACTCTGCTAGCAAAAATGAAAACTTTACAATCTTTTGTCCTCCTGTTGTTCTTCACTATCTGTCATAATGTCACAACTGGAGTCTACAGCCAGTGTCTCAAAGACCAGCAACTGTCATTGCTCCATTTGAAGAAAAACCTCTCAATCGGATATTCTCCGGTTTCTTCCAAGTTTGTATCGTGGGATTCAAGTACAGACTGTTGTTCTTGGCTCGGTGTTACTTGCAGTAGCAACGGGCGTGTTGTTGGTCTTGACATTAGCAGCCAACACATCTCCGGTCCGATTCTAGAATTCTTTTCCAACTTTTCAAACCTGACGGTGTTGAACTTGGACAGAAACAATATCTCCGGTCCAATTCCAGAATTCTTTTCCAACTTTTCAAACCTAACGGTGTTGAAATTGGACGGAAACAATATCTCTGCTCCGGTTCCAGGGTTCTTTGCCAAGTTTTCAAAGTTGACTACCTTGAGTCTACGTGATTGTGGGTTACGTGGAACATTTCCGAAGCAGATCTTTCAGGTACCTACTCTACAAACTCTTGACCTTTCCCTTAATCCGGAACTTCATGGTTCCTTGCCAGAATTTCCCAAGAATGGATCTCTTCGATCCCTGATTTTAAGCCAGACAAACTTTTCAGGGTTATTGCATGACTCTATTGGCAACCTCAACATGTTGTCCACACTAGACCTTTTCGAATGCAATTTCACTGGATCAATCCCAAAGTCAATCGGAAACCTAACGAAATTGGTTTATTTGGACCTGTCATCAAACATGTTTAATGGTCCAATTAGTTCTATTCACTGGGAAAACCTTATTAATCTGGTAAATCTCCGGTTGTACGACAATCAACTATTGGGGAGCATTCCGTCATCTCTGTTTTCTCTTCCCTTGTTGCAGGGCTTGCAACTTTCCAATAATAATTTCTCTGGGCAACTCCCTGAAATTTTTAACGTCTCTTCTAGTTTAGTTACTTTCATTGATTTGAGTTTCAACTATTTGGAAGGACCAGTACCCGTGTCTATCTTTAATTTTCGAGCGCTTCAAACCCTCACTCTTTCTTCAAATAATTTCAGTGCCTTTCCTTTTAATGGTCCTCATCAGCTGCCGTATCTGACGGAGATTCATCTTTCGCACAATAGCTTGCTGGTTTTATACAATGGCAGCAATTCCTCGTACTCTTCATTTCCTCGAATTGCTAATTTCAGTTTAGATTCCAACAAGTTGAGAACATTCCCAGTTTTCTTGAGAAATCAAACCTATTTAAAAAAGTTGGACCTTTCGGAAAACCAAATTGAAGGCCAGCTACCCAATTGGATATGGAAGCTTGATTCTCTTGATTACCTAGATGTTTCTTATAATGCCTTGGAAAGTCTCGAAGGTCCTTTCGTCAACTCCACATCTCCTGTGTCTAGGCTTGACCTTCATTCAAACCAGCTTAAGGGGCCAATTTCATTTGTCCCACCAAATGTCGATTATCTGGTTTACTCGGACAATCATTTCAGTTCTAGTATTCCATTATCAATATGCAATGCAAGTGGTCTTATCGTTCTTGATTTGTCCAATAATTCTCTGAGTGGTGAGATTCCTCAGTGCTTGGCTGCAATGAGCACACTCATGACACTCAATGTCAGGAAAAACAACATTACTGGAATGATTTCTAATCTTGAATTTCCTGAGTCATTAGAAGCTCTAGACCTCAGCCAAAATCAGATTGAAGGTCCATTTCCAAAGTCTCTAGCCAGGTGCACAAGTTTAATATTTTTAAACCTTGCAGAGAATCAGATAACAGACACCTTCCCATGCTTGTTGAAGAACATCTCCACCTTGATCGTTCTTGCTTTGCGGTCCAACAATTTCTATGGAGGCATTGGATGTCCAGCAGTGAAGACCAATGCCACCTGGCCGGTTCTTCAAATCCTAGACTTAGCTTACAACAATTTCAATGGTGAAGTACCAGGATTCTCTCTGACAACATGGCAAGCAATGAAGGATAGCAGAGATGTTGGTTTCCCGTCGACAGTCAGGGCTTCTAGAATCCCTTATAAAAGAAGGGAATATTCTTATCAGCATTCTAGATTCCCTTATAATGGAAGGGGATATTCTTCTAAGCGTTCTAGCATCCCTTATGAAAGAAGCGGATATTCTTCTAAGTATTCTAGAATCCGAAGCGAATATTCTTGCACGTGTGCTAAGGATACATCCCCTGATGACAAAACGGTTGTAATTACTTATGGGCCTGCTATTTCTTATGAGCCTGGTATAACGATTACAAGCAAAGGTTTAAAGACGGATCTGGCAAAGATTCTATCTGTCTTGACCTTGATTGACTTCTCATGCAACAATTTCAGTGGGTCAATTCCCAAGGAAATGGGAGCTTTGAAATCTTTATATTTTCTCAACTTGTCGAGCAACGCTTTCACAGGTGAAATCCCATCGTCATTTGGTAACATGCGACAACTCGAGTCCTTGGACCTGTCACAGAACAAGTTGAGCGGGCAAATCCCACAACAGCTGGCAAACCTTAGTTTCCTTGCAGTCCTGAATCTCTCGAATAATCAACTTGTCGGCAAGATCCCAGCTGGTACTCAAATTTCAACATTTCCAAACTACTCATTTACAGGGAACAAAGGATTATGGGGGCCTCCGCTAACGGTGGATTATAAAGCAGGACTGTTACCACCACCAACATTAAATGGAAGCCATCCAAATTCTACAGATGAGATTGATTGGGATCTTATTAGCGTCGAAATTGGATTTGTATTTGGCTTTGCAGTTGCTGTTGGGTCACTTGTGTTTTTCAAGAGATGGAGTAAATGGTATTACAGGTCTATGTATAAAATCATTGTGAGGATACTCCCTCAGCTTGAAGAAAGAATTGGTCCTCATCGAAGACATGTTCACATAAATCAGAGGTGGAGACGTTGAAATGTTTATGAGGAGCAAGCTGCTGGACTCCATGTTGTGCCTAGGGTAAGATCCAACAAATAAAATATGGTTTCATATTTTGATTTATAACTTGTGTTGTAATTAGGTTTGGAAGTTATTTTATATCTTATATCTGTTGGTTTTGTTTTGTACAGGTTTTGCACCCTCGTTTCTACCCTGTCTAGTTTGCTTTCTATGAATATCGAAATCAGCCGAGATCAAGAGTCAACAAGGACATGGATGCATTATATCTTATATCCTAGAATCGACCGTAATGGCGTTCTAGGATTCATATAGCCGATCCCATTTAGTGGGAAAATGCTTTGTTGTTGTTGTTGTATGCTTCTTTTGTTTGTTCTCCCTTGTTTTGGCTTTGGTTTGTGAGAAAATTATCTCTTTTCTTTTGTGTGTTTGTACAGAGTCTTTGATTTTAAATGTTTGCTCTGTTTTTCGTGCACTGGTCAAGTTCTGTTTATATATTATCGCTCAATTTGCTTTGATTGAGAAAGATATGGAAAGACAGCTCCTCCACAGTTTCCTTCAGCTTCTGTAAAAACTAAAAATTTATGCCAAATGATGACTGTTAAATTAGTACACCTTGGTGATTGTTCATCACACTTGAATTAATTAGACTTTGCTTTTGCTTCCTCTAAATTGATGACCTTTTCTGGTTTCTGGCCACAAATTAACTGGATCGAACCCGTCCCAACATCGAAATGAAAGCGTGTACATATATAAATGTCCACAAATTTCATGCTACTGTATGAGAGGATGTTGAGTTTTGGAGATAAAACGGTCTATGCTCAATCCTAAACAATCTGTAATATACTGGAATGAATAAGATGCCATTCTTCGCTTTTTGCTATTTTCACAAGTGATGATGTTCCTTTCATGTCTAAGCAATGAATCAAAGGGGTTAGAATTGCGCATGCTAGAAAAGAAAAAGGCAGAATTCTTCTTTTTTCTTATATCTTCGAGTTGAAGCTTGAATGTTTTTGGTTGAAGATTTCCCCAACATCTTCGCAAAGTGATCGTTGAAGCGCCTGTAATGTACGTTTAAAATTTTTGAGCCCAAAACTACATTGAATATTTCTCTCACTTAAAAATTAAAAGAATTTGAGGGGTCTGCTATCCAGGTCGGCCCTGCAATAGCATTTCAAATTCAAGCCGGTTTAAAACTTGGAAACAATCAGACAAAAGATTCCTTTCCTTGTTTGTTGAACATAGACAAGGATTGTATGCCCTGCTTGTTCCCGTGCCCTCCCATGCCCTGTGTGGTCATGGTTATGCCACGTCAACATTTTCTATTACTATTCATTTTTGTCTTATTATCTCTATAAAAAAATATATATAAAATGTTGACGTGGCTTAACTGTGACCACACAAAACAGGAGGGCACGGGAGAACACGGAAACAAGGAGGGCATACAATCCTTGTCTGTTGAACATATCCATTTTGCGTGTCCTGGTTTTACGATCCAACAAATTTTATGGACGCGTTGCATGTCCCAAAACCAAGGGCACCTGGCAAATGCTTCACATCATAGACCTAGCTCACAACAACTTGACAAGGCCAACATTTAAAATCAAACTCATAGAATTTTTAGATGATGACGACACATTTGGTTTTCTTTTGAGGATGGTATAACAATTACCAAAAAATGTTCAAGGACGGATATGGTTAAGATTCTAACTATCTTGGCCTTGGTTGATTTCTCATGCATTAATTTCAGTGGACCAATACCTAAGGAAATGGGAGAGTTTAAGTCACTATATTTCCTTAACTAGTTTAGTATTTCTTTCACAGGCAAAATCTCATCGTCAACATGCATCAGCTCAAGTTGTTAGACCTCTCACAAAACAAGCTAAGCAGGCAAATTCCACCGCAGTTGGCAAAGCATAATTTCCTAGAATTCTTGAATCTCTCAAACGATCAACTTGTCAAGTACTCAGACTTCGACATTTCCAAAAGCCTCGTTTATAGGTAACACAGACCTATGGGGCCTCCTTTGTCTGCCGATAATAAAGCAGGATTGTAACCACCACCACAATCAAACGGAAGCCATTCAAATTCTGATCGTGAGGTTGGTTGGTATCCTATCAATGTTGAAATTGGAATTACGTTTGGCTTAGGAGTTGCGATTATTTATACTTCCGGAAATGGGTGATGAGTTGAAGCTACGTGCAAAACTAATCTAAATTCTAGCTTAGTTTGGCTTAAAGTTGTGTTTTGCTTTAAAAATCTGGTTTCGGGACCAAGCAAGTGCATGATGCAATTCAAGTATCTATAAAATGAATATCCATCAATTTCCACATAAGCTTCAGATTATTTATTGGGAACCCGAAGAGCACGGGGGTAATGTGACTTGTCATCTTCGTAATGATAATAATTCCATTTGCTTCCCTTCTTTTTTTTTTTTTTTCTTTGTATAAAAAAGCTAATGCTTTGTTCCAACAGACTAACTAGTTAAACAAAATCATCACAACTAAACTCATCTAAACAGCAATAGATTTCGTGCGAATATAGGCTCAGACATGGCAATAGAACACATTGGAATTGGGCTTCACGCATAAGATAATTTGCTCTGATACCAGGTCCATAAAGAAAGTTGAAATTATAATTATAATACTAATTGGCAATAAGGAGAATTACCCAATTACTTATAAGCTAATGCTTCCTTTTTTTCCCCTTCTCTTCTGGTTAATGCAAAGAGGAGAGGAGAAGAAAAGACTTGATAAGTCAAGCCAACCACCATGCATGGAAGCTTTTTTCCAATTCCATAAGATCATTAACATTTAACACTAGTACAAAAACATGTTTGCGCAACGGAAACTTGCGCGACGCAGCAAATATCATCGCACAAAGTACGTTTGCGCGACGCCAAACAGAAAACGTCGCGCAAACAACTTTTGCGCAACGACACTTTGCACGACAAAGGCTGGCGTCGCGCAAAGGCTGTTTGCGCGACGTTTTCTGCGTCACGCAAGATTTTGGCGCCAAACCAAGATGCTTTACCGCTTTTTTCCCAACTTTCCGTGATGCAAGTGCACCTACATAGCGCAAAACATCTTTGTGAGACGTAGGTGCACCTGCGTTGCGCAAAGTTTTTTTTTTTCCCCCTTTTGCTTTTCATTTGGGTTCTTGCATTGCCTTTTTCTTTTGTGGTATCCACTTATGTAAATGTTTTAAATTGACGATCGAATTAGTTCATTGTATTCATATAGAATCAAGGAGTGTAGCTGTAAAAAATCAACAAAATCGGAATTAAAACTACCGTTAAATCATGATTTTTCGTTTATAATTGTTAATTTGGGGATTTTTATGCTATATGTTCCTTGATAAATTGTTTGAGATTAATTTGAACGATGCCTCGAAAACATCAACAAGTATGCGTGTAGAATTGGTTTAGCAGCTGGTAAAATGTTTTATGCTTGTGTGAAAAAAGTTACATTGACATTAGAGCTGAACACTATAATTGTTCAGTATAGATTTTCAATTCCCAGCCAGCCAGCAGGTATTGACCTAGGTTAGCATATTGCTCGAGGACTTGGTTCTATTCCTTCACTATTTTCTTCTTTGAATGTCCTCAATTTTTTTTTCTTTCTAAATATAATATTATGTGTGTCATTTTCTTGTTAGAATTTACAGTATTTGACTCAAATGCTTGGAGGAAATGTATAGAAAATGTTTACCTGCTGGATACACATAGGCATACCCCAAATTTCATTTTGTTTTATCAGTTGAGCATTTCCTTGTCGACATTTACAGTCAGATGAACATTTCACTTGATTAAACATGGTGTGTTCATTGGTAATGAAAATAAACTAGATGTTTGTTCTCACTTTGATACTGGGCTGTAATTTTTGACACAATTCCATAGCCGCCCTGATTTAGTTAGGTTATATACTTTATCGCTTAATACTTTTATACCTATGCATTCCATTCCTTAATCTTGTGAGGATGACTAAACAAGCATTTGAAGTGTGACACCTTTAAATCATGACTTAATTATAAAGCAGAAGCTATGGAAATTGAAAATTATTGGTTTATTACATTCTGGTGTGTGTTTTCTTCTTGAAAGTTTGAAACACTCGGGAAATGTTTAAGATATAGATATAGAACTCCATTAATGTTGTATGATCTATGTGGAGGCTACTTCTTGTTACAGCTGCTTCACCTTTGCGATGTATTCAGCCATTGCTTCTTCTTTGTTCTATGGTGGAAAAGCGCACTGCTGTACCTGAGGATGTAGGTCTTCAGATCGTGACTGAGGTCCTGGATCAGAAGTTGGGTCGTTGTCATGGCAAGGTTGTTCGGTGTATGGGGAAGGCGGGGGCTCGTGAGACAGGTGCCTCATCTTCCAGATCATCCACATGAGAGGTCAATGCCTTGAAGAAGGAAGTGACAACCCTAAAAGGTCAGCTTACAGCCCAGGGCGAGCAAATGAGGGCCTAGGATGAGCAGATAAGGGCCCAGAACGAGAAGATGAGTGTGATTGTACGGGCCTTAAAGATGTTCGGCCTCCAAATCCTGATGCCAACATTTGATCTTGCTCCACCTTCAACTTCCTAGCCACTTTGCCCAGCCGATACCCATTAGCATGATGTATTAAACTTAGAGGACTTGTAGTTTTTTCTTTTTCGTTCGGACATATTGTATGTATATTTTCATATATTTTATAATTAAATACTTTTTCTTGGTTTATTAATTATTGTTTAAAATTTAATTACAATATTTATTAAAAATTAAATAAAAAAATTTTTTGCCAAAAAAAAAGGGTTTGCTTGACGAAGAAGTGGTCTACGTCGCGCAAAGCGGTTATGCACGACGTATGTCACTTCTTCGTTGCGTAAACCCTATTATCACTGCCTTGGCACGACGGTTGGTGCGCAACGAAGGTTCGTTGTGCTAATTTTTGCGCGACGTTTTTTTGACTTTGTGCGATGAAGGACCTGCGTCATGCAAAGTGTTTTTTTTTTTACTAGATATGGAAAAGATGAAAAGACATTGCAAGATATGGCTCCAATATCTTTGAGTGACTAATTGCCCAAACCGCAAGAGCAGCAACTCTCAGTTTCTTCTGTAAAAAGGATACGGCTTATTCCTTATTTGCTTGTTTAAGTGTTGATTTATTATTAGTAACACATCATTTAGTTTGCAAATTTAGTCTATAAATTTGATCTACTCAACGTTACTCGTAAAGGGGTAGCTTCTGATTTCCCTCTCTTTGAAATAAAAGGTATCCACTTTATACAAAATGTCTTTTTCAAATGGGAGTACCTTTTGAGTGATTGCTGCCAATTAACCCTAAAGCCGTTTTTACAAGGTCTAAAGGCCCACATGGAATGAGCCACAAATTCAACAGTTTTATCATTAGTAGTAATCTCCTATTATATCCCCATGAACTAGGATTAATCTGGTGATCCCAGATAAGAATAAAATCATGTTGTGATTAGTTCAAACTGCAAGTTTGTAATTCACTGAAAATAAGTGGATAAAATCTGGTTTTGCTTTAAACTTCCGGTCCTGCCAAATAAAGTTCT